TGCTCTTTTGTATGGGGCGCTCCTGTTGGTAGTCGCCTCGCGTTTAGAGCAGGCTGCGCACTTCTCTTGCTATTGTTTTGTTACCAGCGTACGCCCGAAAATTCGGCCTGCGCACTTCTGTGCTTCCCGCCCAGGGTTGTGGATGCCATGACAATGGACACTCTAACAATCCTACCATTGAATTACACATGTGTTTAACATGTGTAAAACATGTTCTAAACATGTTCCAAACATGCTTTTACACCCATTTAAAACATGTTTGAAACATCTTATAGACATCTGGAAATTATTTGGCAGCATGCGTCCTCTCCACTAGTCTTGGGTCGGGCGTGTCCCCGACACAGGGGGATTTTGGGCGAAAAATGAAAAGAAATGCTCCAAACATGCCCCCAAGTGGTCGAAAAATGCTCCCAGCATGGCCCCCAGTCCATTATATTTGTTTTGACTGCTTTTGAATATGTCCCCCCTGTAGAGGGACAGGCCCGACTTACCGCTGGCCGACGCTGTGACAAACTCATGACATCGGGGGTCTGGGTTGCTCGGCCTTGAGAGGTGGGGGGGGGGGTAGTTTTCGGCCTCGGGGGGACTTAGGGCTCCCAACTTCGCGCTTCGCGCTGCGCGAAGCGCGAAGCGCGAATAACTTCGCGCTCTCGCGCCGCCCTCCCAAAGGGAGAATAGGAGGACGAGGAGGAGGGGGAGAAGGAACGAGGACCGCGAAGCGCGAATAACTTCGCGCCCTCGAGGGAGCCCTTGGGGACTGGGTCGGGGCCCCAGGATCGGCGCGGGACGGCCCAGGACGAGCAGCAGAGCACGGTGCCCCCCGGGCCCCGACACAAAACCCCCGACGCCATGACTTCTTCACGACGTCGACCCCCCCCGAGGTCTCGACCCCTTCCCCGGGGCCGGTTCTTCGTCCCGAGTCGTTTTCTTGACGGCCCCGAGGCCCGGTGAGGGCCCCCAGAGGCCAAAAATAGTGAAAAGCCTCCCGCCGTGATTTTTTCAGAACTCGAGGGGCGTGGACCCAGGCCGCGGCGGCGTGGACCGCGAATCCTGCTCAAAATGGCCAGGCACTGCTGTTGGGCTCTTTGGACGCCCGAGGAGGAGGAGGAGGAGGAGGAGGAGGAGGAGGAGGAGGAGCAGGAGGAGGAGGAGGAGGGGGAGGGGGAGGAGGAGGAGGAGGAGGAGGAGGAGGAGGAGGAGGAGGAGGGGTCTGGGGACTTCCACAGGCCCAGGGAGCCTCCGGCACCGGCGTGGCGTGCGGCGCCGCCAGGTTGCCCGCCGCGTCGGCCATATCGCCGGCGGCGCACGCCCCGCGGCACGCCCGCGCAGCGGCCCGCCGCAGCAGCCGGGGCAGGCAGGCCCGCCGAGAGAATCGGGTCGGGCGAAAGGGGGGGATAGCAAAGGAGGGGGTTGAGAATCAGCTCACGTAGCTGATTTTCCCGGCGCCTCCCGGCGCCGGAGGCGGCTATGTATCGAGGAATGGGCCCCTCGGTGAGGCCGAAACCAGCTGCATGCAGCAAATTTCGTAACCCCCCCTTTCCCAATCCCCCCCTTTCGCCCGACCCGAGAGAAGCCCTATAACTATAGGGCCTCCCCGGGCGCGGCGGGGGGCGCCTTCGCGGCCGGGGGTGCCGCCGGCAGCCAAAACGGCCGGAGCCAAAACGGCTGCGAGAGAGAGAGAGAGAGAGGGGCCCAGACATGAGGGCGTCGTAAAAAAAAATCAGGACGGGAGGCTTTTCGCTGTTTTCGGCCCCTGGGGGCCCTCGCCGGGCCTCGGGACCGTCAAAAAATGAGTCAGGCCGAAAAACCGGCCCTGGGGAAAGGGTCTGGACTTCCAGGGACGCCGTCCTGAAAAAATCAGGACGTCGCATGTCTGGGGAGAGGGACCGTAGATGGACAAAAAAGTGGAACCCTTGACACCACGCCCCCCCCCCCCCTAATTTCAAAGTTGGCCTCAAGCATTTGGCAGCACAGGCGTGAGAGGACAAAAAAGTGGACCCCCCAGGGCCTCGGAGAGGCCGAACCCAACTTTGAAATTGGGGGGAGGGGGGGGGGACGAATGCGGGGCCGAAGACGAAGGGGTTCCAATTTTTGTCCCCTTACCAGAGCGAGGATAACAACAAGAATCAGAATGGGACGCACAGGGACATACCAATGCTACATGTCCTCCTCAGAGGCGCGCGTCCGGCCCGAACATATGGTATGCCCATCTGGTAGTATATCGCTTCCCGAGCGGTGTGGCCAGAGAGCGCCCGCCACGACGCATGTACTATAAGACTTCTCTGTGCGCGCGTCGCCCCTGGGGGGGGGCGACGCACATATAGTACAAGTGTGTTGGCGTGACGCCGACATAATGTCAAGAACAAGAAGAACAGTACTCACACTAAGACGAGCAGTAATTAAGCATGCTGGTGAACATAATGTGGCCAATACGGAGGAAGGGAAAATCAGAAAGGCGCTCTGGGGGAAGGCTCAAGGCCTCGAAGACAAGGACTTTCATAGGCTAGGACATAGGGTGAGGAGGGATGACGCTTAACGTAGACACCGCTGCAGGAACAGGAGATTCGGAGGAGGAAAACGTTTTTTTGTTCAGGGGGAGCGTACCACAACCAGAAAAATCAACATTTTTGTAGCGGTAGGATTGCGAGCACTGATATACGTATGCAACCGCGCTGCGCCATACATGAAATGACTCCATGTCTCATTCGTGCCAGAAGATCGCCAAAACTGTTTATTACGCGTCTGGAAACACCAACAACATGTGGACGCACACTCTTCTGAATCCCCGTCTGGACGTTTGGGTTACTGCGGGGAGCGTTCACAGCAGACGCAAAGGCTAAAAGACCTTCGAATAAGCCCCAATGAGGACAGCAGCAACACAGTGCTACGCCGCCAGCAACGACTGATGGATGATTTTCCCCATCGACGGGCTCCTGGCCAGAGGACCCATCTGGAGGCCTCCCCCACGGGGCCAGAACAGGGCCCGAAGATCGCGCCGCATGGCCGATGCATCACCGATGCACCAGTAGAACGTCAGGACAGAGCAAGCCGGCCTCCGGACCGTGCCGCACCGCCGACACGTCTGCGACACGGTGCGATCCTCCGACCGCATCCCCAGACCCCCGACGTCATGACTTTTTCACGACGTCGACCCCCCGAGGTCTCGACCCATTCCCCGGGGCCGGTTTTTCGTCCTGAGTCGTTTCTTGACGGTCCCGAGGGCCGGGAAGGGCCCCCAGAGGCCAAAAATAATGAAAAGCCTCCCGCCGTGATTTTTTCATTCCCCGGGGCCGGTTTTTCGTCCTGAGTCGTTTTTTGACGGTCCCGAGGGCTGGGAAGGGCCCCCAGAGGCCAAAAATAATGAAAAGCCTCCCGCCGTGATTTTTTCATTCCCCGGGGCCGGTTTTTCGTCCTGAGTCGTTTTTTGACGGTCCCGAGGGCCGGTGAGGGCCCCCAGAGGCCAAAAATAGTGAAAAACCTCCCGCCGTGATTTTTTCATAACTCGAGTTCCCCGGGGCCGGTTTTTCGTCCTGAGTCGTTTTTTGACGGTCCCGAGGGCCGGGAAGGGCCCCCAAAGGCCCAAAAAAGAGTGAAAAGCCTCCCGCCGTGATTTTTTCCTAGCTCGAGGGCGTCTGGGTCCTCGCCCGATGCCGTCTTCGTCCTGGCCTCAGGAGGAGGAGGAGGGGGAGGAGGAGGAGGAGGAGGAGGAGGAGGAGGAGGAGGAGGGGGAGGAGGAGGAGGAGGAGGAGGAGGAGGAGGGGGTCTGGGTCCACAGCCGAACCACGGCCCGCGCGGACGGGGGGGGGTCGGGAGCGCGAGGCCCTCCGCCGACGGCCCCTAAGGCCTCGCGGAGGTGCCCGTGAGCGCTGGAGACACTCCCGGGGTGGTGGAGGGGCCGCGTGCACGACGAGCAGCGGGCACCCCTCCAAAACCCAGGTCGTTGTGCCCAGACCCCCTCGCGTCGTGAAAAAATCACGACGGGAGGTTTTTCATTATTTTTGGCCTCTGGGGGCCCCTACCGGCCCTCGGGACCGTCAAAAAACGACTCAGGACGAAAAACCGGTCCCGGGGAATGGGTCGAGACCTCGGGGGATCGACGTCATGAAAAAACATGACGTCGGGGGTCTGGGTGTACACGGCAGGTCTTAATAAATGGGATGTTTAATATATATATATATATATATATATATGATTTGTAATACATGATTAGTCTATGAGTGAATTGATGCGTGAACTCATCGTTGCTTTTGATGCTGGCTCCCTGCATTCTTTATAGGTGCAGGATCCGCACGCGGAGCACGTCTTGAAAACGGCGCTGTTGCCCTCGTTCCGGCGGCACTCTGGCCCCACGTGGCGCGCTCGGGGAATCCTGAACCCCAAAAACTTGTCACCTCTTCTTTGGGGGGTGGTGTTCTGACTTCCGCCGACGCCCGCCGGCCTCCACCCGCCTTCCGCCATCCTGCGCTGGTCGGGCCGCCCCCGTCCTGCTTCGGCCAGCCTCCGCCAGGGCAGGGCTAGGAGGTAGCCATGTCTCCTCCTCCCCCTCCTCCTCCCCCTCCTCCTCCTCCTCCTCCTCCTCCTCCTCCTCCTCCTCCTCCTCCTCCTCCTCCTCCTCCCTCCTCCTCCCTCCCCCCTCCTCCTCCTCCTCCTCCTCCTCCCCCTCCTCCTCCTCCTCTTCCTCCTCCTCCTCCTCCTCCTTCTCCTCCTTCTCCTCGATCTCGCTGGCCTCCGCTTCCGCTTCCGATTCGACTTCGGATGCCGCCTCGGATGCCTCCTCCAGGCATGGTTTTTCCGTCAGCGCAACTTCTGGAGAGAGACTTGGGAGGCCTGGACTCTGAGGAGCTGCAGTGCCCCGACAGGGCCTGCATCCGTCCTCACCCCTCTCATGCACGCCCCCATCATGCTACGCTTCCTGCTCTCCCTCTCCCTCTCCCCACCGCCTGCCTTGCGGCGCCCACGCCATGCATGTGCTTGGGCCCCTCGCCAGCAGGTGCCTCTTTCTTAAACAGCGCAACTTTGAGAACCAGCGCAACTTTGAGAACCAGCGCGACTTCGAGAGAGGAATTCGGGAGGCCTGGGCCTCAGGGAACTACGGCGCCTCCACAAAACCAGGCGGCGCCACCGCGCCCCCAGCCGCGTCCGCGTCCGCGGGCACCACCGGCACCGGCACCACCTGCGCCGGCGCCGGCTCTGCCTGCGGCTCCTCGGCCTGCGAATCCGGGGGGGCGTCCTCGCGCGGGAGGGTCAGCTGCTTCGGGCTGTAACGACGCGTAGGTGCGGGTGCGATTAGGGGGGAGGAGGGGGAGGCGGAGAAGGAGGAGGAGGAGGAGGAGGAGGAAGAGGAGGAGGATGAGGAGGAGGAGAAGAAGAAGAAGACAAAGGACCTCAGACTCTCTGGACCGAGTGCGTTGACCCAGAAGGCCACTTGGAAAACGCACAACACGCGAGGCGGAACCAACCCGCACTGGGCATCGAAGCTCCGAGTACGACATGGCCCCACAACGCCCGCAGACCATCCAGGGGGAGGAGAAGGAGGAGGACAAGTGCAAACCCAAGACGCGTCAACGATGTTGCAGTGAACCCTCCCTCGGGAGGCGAAGCCTGAAGCTCCTGCACTCCACCCGAGAATGAACGACCGCCCACCGCCTCGCCACCATCCAAACGCGGGCGCGCACCATGTCCCACGACCGCTGGGGACTCGACGTCGTCGAGGTCTTCGCTGCCGCCGTAGTTGGGGAACGGGATCACGACAGGTGAGACGGCCCCGTGGGGCAAGCTGAAGCATTCGAAGTAGGCGTCGCTCAGCACTATGTCGGTGGACGGGCCAGCCTGCTCCACAACGCCAGTGCCAGCATTGTCCAGCGCGCCAGCAACCCCGCCGCCAACGCCGGGAACTTCAGGAAGAACGCCACAAATCAGTCGAGCCGCCCTGCATCTCCACAGCGGGAAGAGTCACTTCATGCTCAGGTAGGGAAATAAGGTCGCCTAAGGACACCAGAGTGACCGCATCAAAGCCGCCGTACATGATGTCGTCGCCGTAGACCAAATTCTTTTGCTCTCGCTCGTCGCGATGGTCACCCAGACCATGAAGATGTTCACGCGCCCGTTCAAGCTCTTCTCCGCGAGTGTCCGTCTCGACGGGCATCACGTGCGGCCCACCCGAGGAAGCCGCCGCAGGGCCAGGAGCGCCGTCGCCTCCGCGCGCGAGAAGGCCAAGCCAAGCAGATGCTCGCCCAGGCCCAGTGGTAATCCAACTCGTCGTTGTCTACGCAGTCGCCCTGGCGGCGCTGCTGAAGGGCGCCGAAGGGGCTCGCCACTGCAGCGCCAGGCTCCGATCTGAAGTTCATCAGCTCGTGTCGTCGTCCGTCGGGGGCGGGCGGCCGCGCTGGTCAGCGCCGTGGATGCCGTCGTCCGTAGAGAATAGCTGCGCAAGGAGCGCTCGGAGCCACCGCCCCTCCCGGCAGGACCCGCGCCGTCGTGGAGCTGGTCTTCACCAGGTGCTGCTCCGCGACGGACCCAAACCTCCGACGTCATGATTTTTTCATGACGTCGACCCCCCGAGGTCTCGACCCATTCCCCGGGACCGGTTTTTCGTCCTGAATCGTTTTTTGACGGTCCCGAGGGCCGGTAGGGGCCCCCAAAGGCCAAAAATGGTGAAAAACCTTCCGTCGTGATTTTTCATAACTCGAGGGGGTCTGGGGAAGGGGCGCAGCTGCACGGCAGCGGGTCGCGGGGCAGGCCGTCGAGGGGCCACCTCGGCCAGGAACAACGCGCTCCCCGCACGTCGCCCCAGGCGCGGCGGGCCGGGCGCCCCGCGCAGCTGGCGAGGGTGCTCGTGGGCTCCCCGATGCGCACGGGCCGCGGGGCGGCCGTCGTCGCTCCTGGGCCAAGGCGAGGCGAGGCGCTGCCGTGAACTTCCGCCGGAGGAGCTGATGAATATACTCCAGATCTCGTAATAAAAGGGAGGGGGTCTGGACCCTCCAAGACAAGCCATTTCAGACCCCCCCCCGTGGGAGAACCCTCCAGAACATCGTCCCCAGACCCCTCCAGACCCTCCAGGATGGCCTGGAAGAGACCCCCCCCGAAATGAGACCCCCCTCCCTTTATTACGAAATCTGGAGTACCATCCCGCCAAAGCGCAATTCCTCGGCCATCTGCCGGCGCCGCAAGGGGGCAGAGACCCCCGCGGCCCGCAGGCGAGGAGCCGCATCGGTGCGCGGTTCGACCCCCCCCATCCCGCGGCAGGTCGGGAACGCAGGGGGCGCGCGCCGTGCAACCCACTTGTGGAGATCGACGCTCTCCGACGGCGCGCGCAGAAAAGGTGGCCAATTTTGCCCCCGCAAGATGCGATCAACAAGCTTGCGCCGCCTTCGCTCATGCCTTGGCGGCGGTCAAGGCCATCATCGTCGGTTCTCTCGCGCGGGGAAAAGCGCGAAAGGCGTCGAGGGGAGGTCGCTGGACTTGGGCTCGCAGGCGCCCTCCTCGAACCACTTGTCAAAGACGCCCTCGGACAATTCATCGTTGCCCTCGCGCCGCAGGCGGGCGATGGCGCTGTTCGGAAGGGCCGCCACATCTGCGCCCCTGCAAGGGAAAAGGAACAGCCGGGCGAGTCGCGCGCCGCAGCAGGCACGAGGCCCTCGATGATGCCGCGAATAGAAACCGAGTCCTCGTCGAGCGGAAATAAGGAAACCCCGTCCCGCCTCTCCGAGCAGCGGCAAGAGCAGCGGCAATGGGAGCGGCGCGCGACCTCCGGAATGAGACCGCCAGCGCCGCGATCTGGATCGCCCCTCTCGCCTTCGAGGAGCTGCTCCGTCGGGGCCCGGCCGATGCTGGGGAGGGCGTCGTAGAGCAGATGGGCGCGGGGGGGCAGGTCGAGGCCTTCCACCTCTGGCTCGGAGATACACCGCCGAACGAAAGGGTCGGCGGGGGGAATAATCTGCGCCCCCCTGACATGGCCATCGCCGGCGCCCGCGCGCAGCGAGGGCGCGCCAGCGCGCGCGGCATATCGCCGCGGCGATCTTCGCGCCCCGGGATGAGAGGCAGCCCCCTTCGGGCCAGGGGGCCCTTCGCGATGTCAGCCGACCGCCCGCCACCGCGCTAAGAAGGGCAGGGGGCCACGCGATGGGCGTCGCATTCAGGAGCGCCTGGGCGGCCCGCCACGGCGCCGCCGCAATCTCCTGAGCTCTGTCGGGGGACCAGTTGGCCCACCTGGAGGCGATGAGAGGCGCGATCGCTGCTTGGAGCTAGATAGCGCGGTTCGGCGCCCCCCGCAACTTCAGACGGCGCCAGCGCTCCATGGGCGTCAAGTGGGCCTTTTCCTGATAGAGCTTGCGAGCTCGCGTTTGCGCGTGCTCGAGGTCGGCTCTTCGACTGCCACTGCCGACAGCAGGTCGGTGCAGGGCTGGCGCGAGAGTGCGCCGGCATCCACGCAAACGAGCGCGGGGGCGATCGGCTGCGTCGCCCAGAACGAAAGTACATGGATGAAGGACAGCACGGCGCGCGAGCGGTCCGCGATCCGCCTCTCCGCCCACGCCAGGTATCGATCGTAGAACTCACCTGTGGGCCGATCTGATGAGCGCAGCCTCCGTGGGGGCGCAGGCCGGGATGAGCTTCGGATCGCCCCCGGTCGCGTAGGGGCGCGAATCCAAGCGCCGAAATGCCCCGCCAGCATGGCGGCGCGCCCTAACGAGCAGGTGGATTTAGTCCTTGAGGGGCTCGCTGGGGAGCGGGGTGCGCTCATGGGGGCCGCCGTCGCCGCTGGGGCCGAAGCCCCCCGCTTGAGTTTGCACCGAGCTGCCCGCCAAATAATCCGCCGCGACGCAGCGGGCCCCGTCGAGGGCCCCCGGGTAGAGGGGCGCGTCCGTGACCGAGAAGCTCTGCCACCTCGGGGCCAGCTGGCCGGTCTTGACTGAGCCCCAGGCAGAGCGCGCGAGCGCGCCCATCAGCAGCGCCGCCTTGCGCGCGAGGGGCTCGAATTGCAGCGCCGCGTGGCGATCAGCGTCGAGCTGCGCAGTCGCGGAACAAGCCCGGGCCCTGGCCCCCGGTGCAGATCTCGATGTCGCGGGCGAGCGGAGTGGCGGCCAGCGCGCGGAGGCCCCCCGAGAGGGCGCGGCCCCGGGCGACGCCGCGGGTGACGGAGATGGGCATCGCGGCGCGGGGCGACGCCCGCCGCCGTCGAACCTGCCGCAGCGCGCGAGCGCAGGCTCTACGCCGCGAGCAGGACAGCACGAGGGGCCTGTGCGATTCCTGCGAAGGGGCCCTAGGGCGCAAATAAATACACAAATAAAACGGATTCCCAATATTTTCCGATATTTTCTGGGTTTCTGTCTTCCCCTCCACTTCCCATATTTTCTTATATTTTCATGGGGATCGAAATTGTGTCTGCATGTTTTCCCCCCCCTTCTTATCCTGGCGCGAGGAGGAGGCGCCTCTGCGAGCGGCTCGGAAAAGCCCGGCCGGAGCCCAAGCCCGCGAGGATCGGGCGCGCCCCCTGGAGCCCGCTGGGCGGAAGCCCGCCGCCCGCGCGACTCGGCGACGTTCCCCCGGGGAGATGAACACCCTCGAGGCGGGCCCTGCCGCCGAGCGCGGGGGGGCAGCATCCTGCGTGAGTCCGTAGATGGCCGAGTGCAGCGTCGCCGAGATCAGCATCGCGCCAGCGCAGCGAATGCCCATCGCGCGGATCGCGCCGGGGGCTCGCTCGACGGGCCCGTCGCGGCGGCCATCTGGGCGGGGCCCGGCGGCGAAGATGGCTTGCGGGGTGTCGCGCGCGGCGAGAAAGACCCTGAAGCGTTGAGCATCCGCTCTGTCGCCCCCGGGAGGTCCCAGAGCGCAGCGGCGCACGGGGCCCGCGCGAGGCCGGGGGCGCCGCGCTTCCCGGGTGCACCCCTGGCGTCTATCATGCGTCGGATAATTCTGTCCATGGCCAGCTGGTTCGGCGGGGCAACGGGCCGCGCCCCGCAGGAGCGAGGAACTCCCCCGCGCGGCGGCGGACAGGGACAGCGCCTAAAGTGACTTCAGCGAAGATGGGGGCCCAACGTTTGCAGATGGCCTGGGCCCAGCGGCCCCGGCCGGGATGGAGGTCGCCATCGCGTGCTGCTCGGAGAACCAGCCGCGCGCCAGCAGGCGCCCGCAGTTGGGCCCTCCTCTCCGCGGCTGGGATCTCAGCCTCCAGGCCCGTTTTCCTCCTAGCTTTGGCTCAAAATTTGTAGCTGAAATGAATTTCTTCGCGGC